ACGGCCCTTCCAGCCCCATCAACGAGTCCGCCCCGGAGCTGCCGCAGAGACACAACTCCTTGCACAGGAAGACGCCGGGCCCCTTGCGGGGTCTTGCGCCGCCGCCGCCTGCTTCAGCCTCCCCGTCTCTCCAGAGCAGTCGCCCCCCTCCGCCGGCCAGAGACCCCCCCAGCCGGGGAGCTGGTAAGAACCGTTTGCTCTGCTGGGCCCAGCTCCTTCAGGCCCGGGAGCAGCCGCGGTGGGTCAGCCTGCGGCCGCCTGCCCGTGGGGGGATTGGGGGCTGGCAGGAGATGCTGGGGGGAGAGTCGGCGCCAGGGCACAGCGAGGCTTCTCCTGCACGTGGCAGTTGGTGTAGGGGTTGAGCCAGGGGCGGTAGCTGGACTGTCATGTTTAATACACGTCCCTGGTCCTGTCCTCTGTTTATCTAGCTCCTTTCACGCCTGATGCTGGCGGTGGGTTGTGGCTGGGCAGCTCCTGCCTGTGAGGACGGTGTGTCCTCCTGGGGTGGGAGGTGAGGACATGGTGGAGCCAGAGCCGCGTACGCTGCGGCTGCTCCCCTGAGCTTCCTGAATGTCACCGGGTCGGTGACAAAACGCTGCGGCGTTTGTCGCAGGCTGAGAAGCCTTCCCCTCGGCGCTGCAGCCAGACACCCTCGCTCAGGCCCCGGGGAACCATCCTGCCCCTCTCTGGGCTGTTTTCGGCGCTGCATGGTGCAGAGCGCAGCTGGCGATGAATGCTCTGTAGCCGCTGGTGCAGGGGTTGGGGTTTTGGTGTCGGGCACCCTTCAAAGGGGTGGCTTGGTGAAAACCGCTCGCCAGTCCCCCCGTGCACACGGAGCCAGGCGTGAGCATGTCCCCGCTGCTGGGAGCGGCGATGGCTTCGCCCCGGTGCCCCCCCGCCGTGCGCTCCTGGGCTCTGTGTCCAGACCGCAGCTCCCGCCTGGTCCCCTGCCAAGCCGCTCTGTCCTTCTGGCCCTGCCAGAATCCCTCCTTTGAGTTACGGCTGGGGATCTGCTCTGTTAGTCTGTGTGTAATTAGCCTAATGAGGGGCATGAACTGCCCCTGTGCATCTGTGGGAGGTTGGGCAGGAGTGAGAGGTGGGTCGGAGGGGCCGTGGGTCCTGTCGCCGCCTCGGTGGCAGTGCGGACGTGGCTTCCCAGCCCTGGCAGGCAGCATCTTGCTTCCATGTGGAGCCACTGCCCTCAAACCTTCGCGTGTGTGGGCTTGTAGCTGCTCCTCGGATCCCACCTCGTGCAGAGGGTGACCTGGGTCCGGCCACAGGCTGGGGGCATGCAGGGGACGGAGCAGCCCCACTGGGGGTGAGCGGTGAGCCGGGGCGGGCTGGCCGGTCGCCTCCACTGCAGCTGATGAGGAGGAATGCAGATGTCAGGAACGAGCAGGAAATCTCTGCTGGACGCGCGTAGGAGCATCCCTGCGCCAGCCATGCTGGCTGCTGGCGCGGTCTGGCTCAGCAGCTGGCCTGGAAAGCTACCTCGGAGGATGTCCTTGGCCCTGCTGCCGGAGGGAGGTTTTGCCCTGGGGATGTCGTGCCTTTGCAGGCTGCGGTGGGCTGGGCCAGGGGTGAC